CGCGGTTAGTTGTATCAATAATTACTATGATTATGGATGGCCATGCCGGTGTTGAATGGTGGGGTTTGTATCGGAAATCCGCGCATTGACGCAGTCGGCAACAATATTTGTAGCCGTGATCAGTGAGCTGTATTGTGTCGAGGGGACGACAAGTTTTTTTTACTCCACCGATTAGCCGATGTAGTGCTAATCGTTGACCTCTGATTTATTACAGTTCATTGCGGTTGAATATGCCGCTGAAAAATTGCCGATATGCATGGGTTTCTTTGCGGATTTATCTGTTGTGAAATCGGTCAATTTTTCACAGAATTATTGCGGATTAAACTCAGTCGATTATAATGCCAAGATTTTCGAAAATTTTCGATTAAAATAATACAAGATTTTTGAATTATTTTCTGTGTATTCATAGCTGATGTGTTTTTATTTCTATTGAAATATTATTGAATGTTGATGTATGAAATTTAAAATATTTGCGCAGAACATAATTATCTGAAAATTGAATCACTGATGTAAAAGTAAATTTAATAAAATAAGTTATTAATAAATTTTTAAAAAATTGCAGTCGAGCTTAATTATGTTAAACTGGAATTATTAAATTTTTGTGGAACGTGGAATCGGAATTATTCTTGCGCAATAAATAAAAAAGAATTACACATTTTTTAATAATAATTCTAATTTTTTGGCCTGAAAAACTAGTTTAGGAAAAAAGAAATTATTTATAAAATTACTCATGATTTCCGGAAAGGAAAATAACACGGTGTGTTTATTGATTTTATTTGGGTTACGCCTTTATTACCCCATAACAGCCCGGCTGTACAATTGCAACCGGCTCGTTTTCTGGTTGATAAACAGATATTATTACACTGTTGCATTGTCCGCGTGAAGCCTTGGCTTTTTTCTCCCAACCGGAAATCACCGTCCTGATTCATGCGGCACGCGGCCCAACGCAGTACACAATTATTATACACTAACCCACTTTCCAAGCTGTTAATTGCCCGGCAGGTTTTATGACCTGGAATCAGCTACAACGTGATGTTGTCACGATCCACCGATTCTGATAAAATAGGTGCCAAAAACACAGCAGGAAAAAATTCGACAAAATTGTATTTTTATTGGCTAAACACTGAGCGATTTTGTTTGGATTTGTTATCGAATTTTGCCGGTTGTTTGTTCTTTTGAGAAAAATAAATAGAAGGAATTTATCGGGGCTGTTTTGAACGTTGCCGATTCGGCAGACTGAAATCGTGTAAATTTTAAAATCGGTGGAATGCATAATTTTCGTGTTTGTCTGATATCGGCTGGTTGATAAGTTATAACGTCCGTAATTTTAAATGCGAAGGTTGAGGAGAAAATTGGAAGGTGCAGAAAGATTAGGAGGTGAAACTGAAGCGCTTGTAAAGTGCCGGCGACGGGCAGAAATGAGTGGTTGGTGCGTTAGAGCGTGTCGGATTGCACTGGCAATTACATGATGTTCGTAGTGCAGTGGCTTGATTAACGAAGTCTTATACGGCAGCAAAGTCAATTCAGTAAAATATTCTTGATATATCGCATGTTTTGACTTTCCTTACTTTATTTTTTTAGCTTATATTATTTTGAGAAAAAGTAGTATAGGTATTTTAAGTAAACGAGAAGAAAAGTGTTTTAATTTAATTGTTAATCGAAAGGGAAAATATGGAGCCAGGTGCAATACGGCTTACTGTTCTCTTTTAATTCAATAAAAATGATGGATCTGCAGCAGAATCAAAGGTCAGGTGGGATATCTGCTGGAGGGCTGGAAAATGTTAAGCACCTGCTGCTTTGTTTGCTCAGGATCGAAATGCGCCGCGTACCGGTGATGAAAACTGCTGCTGTTCGCTTTAAACGAGTGTGCATTATACACAGACATGCCAGCGAGCGGTGTGGTGTACATTCTTAACGAGTGTGTACATTTCACGAGAGATATTAAGGTACAACACGAGTTGCGCTGTATATCCGGATATACGCACGTGTACGACTCCGGCGCCAGGTTGTACGAGCGGTATAGTACGGTTGTGTCCACTGTGCGCAAGTGGACGCTGTACATCCGCGTACTGTGTAAACGGCAGCGTTTACGCTGCACACGAGTGTTCTGATTCGTCAGTGGTCAGTTGAAATACGATCCGTTCTGCGTGTCCCTGTGGCGGTGGAGAGCAGCGACAGGGGCCCACTCGAGTTTGATGGTCATCTCTCGAATTGGCGGAGAGGCCGGCCAGTGATAGAGACTAGAGAAACAGAGAGAGGCAGGCTGAATTTAATCGCTGCCGGTTCGGCTTGACTGGATGCCAGCGTGCTTTAATAGTGTGTACCCAGTGCAGCTGATAGCGTGCGAGGTGGCCATTTCTCTCTCGTTTTTATTTTATACCCGCAGTTAGTTTGCATTTTCTGCCGCGGTGTTTCAGTCGCTCAGGTGAGAGAGTATGTGGACTGTTTGATGAATTTTCCCTGCTACTGCCTACTTGAAGACGTGCCGCGAATAATTTCCATCCACATTTTTGATTAGATTTGTTCTAGGAACTGTTGCTGTGTGCTTGAATGTGGTTTTTTACCACGCGGATGTTTAATTTATTTTTGGGGAATTTTTGGAGGATTCGTGGAAGAAGTTATTGACATTGGTTGGTGGGTCGGTGCAGTGTTATTCGGTATTTTGTCGTGTTTTTTCATTTTTTTTATGAATGACATCCTGCGTGCTGTAATTTGTATTGCACTAAACAGAGAATTTGTTGAGCAATCGTAGAGTAATGGCTGCGAAAGCATGAAGTCCGGAATTTACTGCTGCTTTTGCTGCTGCCATCGTGTTGAAATTGGGGTGCTACGCCAAGTTCGGGCAGTTACAAAAATTTCTCTGCTTCTACCAGTTAAGTCTAATATTTTTTATTTATTCTTGCAAGATAGTTCTTATCCTGGACCACCTTAGGTAAATTTGTTTCTATGCAAAAAGCTGATGTACAAGGAATGCGAGCCGAATTTCTAATTTCATTTTTTGTGCAAAAATCGCACTGCTTAGTACGAAATAATCATGTTCCTTCACCAAAAATTTAAAAATTGGTGGACATTGAGAACTGTGAGGAGTGAGCTGTATTTTCTAAGGGTCCTTCCCTACCTTCAGTTTAAACAATAAAATCTTCCCTAATGGAATCGGTGCTCTAGGCATCCGCATTCCCCTGCAGGTACTTTTTAACATACAAGTCTATGGGAAATGCATCTTGTTCCGAGGTCACCTCGAGCACTGATGGCGCAAGTCCCCATTGCCGACCCTTGAACGACACCCACTGCGTCACTCAATAGTTTTTAAAATGGCTCGCGCAAGAATATTTGTTGGGACATTTTGAATCGGTCCAGTTATAAGCCCCCGAAAAACTACCTTCACCCCCGCCTCTTATATTCCGCCTGACCCCTTACTATCTAGTCGAATGATTAAAAATCAGACACTGTTAGATTCGCAAGAAAAAGTTACACTAGAAAAGTGAAAAAACGAAAACAAAATGGCGTACGGGAATATTTATAATTTATTTTACGCAACTGCCCGAACTTGGCGTAGCACCCCTGTAATAGTGCAATTGCTTTAAATGTTGAATAATGAATTTTTTCCTGGAAAGAAAATGATGCTATGAAAAATATTTACATAATTAGTGAAATTTGCCAGTGCAAAAATACAGCAATATGAAATAATTGTTTCAGTTCGCGAAGGGTGCAGGATATGCACCGGAATTGTATCAGTTTTAATCAGAAATGGTTTCTTCAGTGAAAACTGATTAATTTCATTGAAAACTGTTGCAATTTGCAGCTATTTTTGCGTTGATTCTGCTGCCCTCTTTGAGCATAGCATTTTAAAATTTAGAAAAAATTATTAATCGGATTACCAGTGTGTATAAAAAATATTAGAAATTTATATTTCACTCAGATCTTTGTATTTATTTTGGTAAACTGTTGTACTCGTAATTCGCAGTACGCTGCTGCGTGACGCTGCTGCCAGTCTGTGAGCGTAAGATTTGAAAACTGAAAAAAAGATACCTAATCGGATTGCCGGTGTTTATAAAAAATATTAAAAATTCTAATTCATCTATGCAAATCTTTCGTGGATAATTGTTATTCTTGACGTGCGATTAATTGGTAAAAAATCACCAGCATCTCTCACTTCGTCCCTGGCCTGAAGGACAAGCCGGGATTGGAGCCAAGGGGTGGCTTGGTTTGACGAGTGCGATGATTATCCAGTGGTTGTATAATAGCGTGTTGCGCATCGAGTGTCGCCTGAGCACTTGTTGCGCATGTAAATCACTCGATTGTTCCATATCTCTGCGACGTGTGTGTGTGTTTTTTATATCAGCGCGCATGCTGTTGTTGCTGCGAAAATCCGGTTGTAATCCGAGCGGGTACGTGTTTGTATAACATGCCTAATCGCTCGGCTAATTTATTCCGGTTGTGTTGTCTTCGGGGGGAGAGAAAAATCTGGTGAAAGAGCGAGACCGGGTGGGCTGTGATTTACGGTGTTCCATGTTAACGAGAAATTCACGAAACCGCGGCTAATCGATCAAAATTCCTGTGTAATGGACCTGGTCAGCTGGTGCACGAGGGAGGCGCTAAGCCGCATACCTGAATATGCTTTCGAGGGGGGTGGTGCGTTGTTTTACCTCCGGGGTGGACATAAAAATAATGTTATTATTATTACGGAAATTATTGTGAAAAATTTTTTGATTTATTATTTAAAAATTGAAGAATTTTTTTGAGTTATTACTAAATAGGATTTAGTATCATGAATTATTAAGAAAATACGAAAAATTAATATGAAAATTGCATTCACGATTATTTTGGGAACTCCAGATATTTTTGGGATTATTTTTACATCCTATTACGTTTGCAGTTGCTTGTAAAATCAGTGGAAGCGTAGTAAAGTGGCACTAACCCCGCAAATACTCCCTCTCATATCTTGTTGGGTTGTCTAATGTGCAGCACGAATTTACTGTTTAATTTGATATTATTTCTAGGTGGTGCACGGAACGATTGAGAATCTGGTATCGCGGTTAAACCAAGCCAAAGATAATCTTAGCCAAAGGAATTCGGCGGAATTGCCGGTGGATTTCGCGGTACGCCTGCGCCATTTGGAGACGCGTTTGCATCAGTGTTGGCTGAAATCTCTGGAGCGCCAACTGCGTCTGGAAGAGGAAATCCACCGCTGTTCGCTGCTCGTAAGTTTAAACTTTTTTCCATATATTCACTGTTTTGTGATACGTATTTGCTGAATACAGTAATTTATGTTAGTCATGATTCGGTATGTTCTGCAGTTGTCATCGTTAACTGGTGAAAGTGTAGAGAAGTGGCGCTACGCATCGCAGTGAATTCTATTCGTTAATCGGTTCTCACGGGTGAAATAAGCTAGATTTAAATTATATCAAAATTATTTTTGATGGTGATTGGTGAAGCATGGATATTTTTGAAAATATGGGATTACATGGGAATTTTTAATTTGCTCGCGGTTGCCTCAAGTATACTGGTTTTTTTCCGTTCGGGAAGCAGTGCTGTTGCAAAATTAGGATAATTTTTCTTTGATGGAGGAATTTTTGGAAATTGCTCGGAATAAAACCATATTTCGTCTGATTGTGAAGCGTCCGCGCTATGGAAAAAATAAACATTTTAAATAAATTTGGCGTAATGTGAGAAAAATGTGCTTACCGGGTAATATGTTTGCCTCGGAGATGTCTTCACGATTCAGCGTGATTCTTATGCAAAGGGTCTGTTTGAGCAAGACGGTAAATGGGTCTTTTGTGGGGTGGTAGTTGACTTGTTGCTGACAAAAGACGCTTTTGTGGACAGTGTGGGTGGCTGGCTGAGTGATGGAGAGATGCGCTGGCAGCTGACATGTCCGCGCTTTGTGCCCGTGTCGCGCCGTTCTCATCTCATTCCTCGCCGCGGCAGTCTCTGTAATCCGATAGTTATTTTGCTGCTGCATGTTTTTAAATACCGTTTCGGTTTTTGATATTTTGGCAAAACGGCAGCAGCTGCAGAACCTGCATATAAAATTGGAAATTTTCGTAGATCAGTGGCTCACGGACACGGTCAGCTAATAGAATACGAGTACACGTACAAACGAAAGAGTAGCTTGTTGCCGAATGCTGTAGTGGTTCGCTTTCAAATTTTCATACAACGTGAATTTTCAAATAAATTTTTTACCTGCTGATGTCTTTTCTTTATGATTTATTTGGTTTTTTTTCTAACCTGCGTGTGAGTTAGTATTTTAGTTCCATTTTCATATTGGAAAAACAGCTCGCTGTTTGGTTTATTTAGAGGTATTTCGTTTTAGACTCGTTTTTGCTGTTTTTTAGAAAACAAATACTTTTGAGAAACTTCTGCAGTAATTCAGACAAAAATAGAAATGGGAGGATTTAAATTATTTATATGTTGTAAACGACTGGAGGCCCGCTTTTATCAGTGATAAATGCTTCTTATTTTGAACTAATAAATGTTGGACTTTTATCCGCCGCAACGGTGAATAATAATTTTGATGGGTGGCCCTTTGGAGTTTGAACCTGTTTTGGTGGTGGCGAAAACGGTGTGGATGTGAGTAGATTACACTGATGCGAGAAATTTGAATAATACGCGCTTGATTACGAAATCACACGCAAGGACACTTATCGGCCAACGTTCAGCCGTGCGCACTGCGCTGGTTGGTCAGCTGGCAGATGGGTTGCGTGTAGCAGCGGCTTGTTTGCTTTTCCCACGATTGGTAGCCACGCGGAAACTGATCGCACCTTTTAAATGGTGATTTGCGCAATGGCACCTGTAATTATGGTCGGTATTGCGTGCGGTTAATCGTAGAATACAGCAGTAACAGCACACGGGCACTTGTTAAAATTACAGGTAAACTGTGAGTAAACTAAGCCTGGGAGAAAATTGGCAGAATTTTGGGAGGAAAGCGTAGAACAGTGCCTCACAGTATTGGCGCGTTTGGTAGCATGAGACGACACTACATAGTGAATGACCGCCAGTCATGATTTTGGGGCGTTGACTTTCTTTCGTAGTTCGCATAATAAAGTATTAATCTGTTTTTTTTTTGTGATAATAATTTTGATAATCTGTTTTTATTTAGCAGTTTTTTATCACGGATTTTGTTTAGTTCAATTTGTCTGCGCAGTTATGGCAAAAAGTACGAAAAATGCGCTTCACGATACTCGTACCGGCATTGTTATTTGTAGAAGCTGCAGTTTGGTTGTGCGAGTTTTAATCAGCTGATAAATTTGAGAAAAATGAAACAACCGTTGCCGTTCAATAAGTCGAATAGCCCGGGAATTTTTTTACAGGATTTTGACGATCCCGAAAATCGTTCTTCCTCGTCGGAGTCGTGTTTGAGTGAGCCAGCGTTGCGATGCTGGGACTGGAGTGAGTGGGATCTGGTGCATTGCGCGTCCGCCGAAAACATGTCAGAAGAGAAGGGCGTGATGGCCGGCACCGCCGGGCAGGGCCTCAGCTCCCTGAAACTGGCGTTGAATCTCGCGAGCAACGGGAAACTGGAGCTGGTGTCGCAGGATATCGGGTACGCCAGCGAGAGCTCCACGTTGAATTTATCGATGGATGATGTGTCGCCGTCGCAGCCGTTGGCGCCGGTGCTGGGTAATACGGGCGCGGTTTCCGGTAAGAATCGAACGGAATTGAATTTATTCAATTTTATTTGTCATAATTTAAGTTTATTTATTTTCTAATTTTTTTTGGGATGTTTTTCCTAACTTCGTATGTAGTTTTTATCATATTTTTCTTTTCCGTAATTAAGTTGTTTTCTGGACTTTTTGTATTTTTGCGGCCATATTTTTCATATGAAATTTGGCAGAAATATGATGTGCCGATTTTTATTTCAACAGCGTCTCAATACTTTCGCATTTTTTGAAAGATTATTTTAATTCTGCATTAGTAGTAGTGTATTGTCATGATGCTAGTTGTATGTAAAGCGCCTGCGAGCAGTTGTTCGACTTTTAAGAAATTTTGTTCAATGAGCTGGAATCAGTTTTTGGTGCGCATATTTATCATTCAGCTAATTTATTTTATTTTGTTTTTTATTCGAATAATTCTGTTTTTAATTTATTTTTCATTTGCTAATTCTTTGTCTTTTATTTATCGAATGTTAATTATGTTTTTTCCCAGGGTTGATCAAAACCTTAACGGCCAGCCCCGGCCGCGTGACGCCGGCGGCCTCCGCGCACTCGGACACGGATTCCTCGCGGAAGGCGGACGCGCGCAGACTGCGTCTGCCGCTGGACCCGGCCATCCGCAACGGCAGTCTCAGCGCGTCACCCAACGAATTCTATTACAAAGTGGCGCCGTTGATACTGGACGCCCGGGCGGAAGTGCTGACGCGCTCGGCCAAGGGCTCCTTGTCCAAGTTACGCGCCGGACCGGCACTGGCCTTCACCGACGATGAAGGAGAATCCAAGAACTTCCAGTAAGAGTAATTCGAGTAATTTTTTATTGGCGTTTTCCCTGTAATTTTGAATTTTTTACGTGTTTAACGGTTTTTCTTCAAAACTTTTTTAAGTTTTCGGTACATTGTACTTTTTGTAAAATATTCGTTGTGAGAGGTAATCGATTCACCATGTGTGTTATTTTTTTAAAATTTAATTATTTTTCTAAATTTATTTATTTTAAATTTAAATTATGTTATTTTTTTTAAATTTAATTTCATAATGATTAGTAATTTTATAATTCTCTTTTTTATTTTTTTCACTTTGAATTTTTCCAGTTCCCGTAATTATTAACAGACAACAGCCAGCAGAGTAACAAAAAACGGGCTAGAAACAATTGCCGTAGTAATTTTGTTAAATCGTAGATAGATGGCTCACGAACAACTCGAAAATCAACTTTCGTTGTTATGTGAACTGATGCGTGGAAACACTGCAGTAATGTTGTCCGTCAGAATTTGAAAGTAATTTTTTAACATAAAGCTGTATGTTCGTGTGGTGATGAAATTTTTGTTTGTTAAACTGTTGGTTTTTGAACTGCGCGATTTTGCATTGTTTCTTGGTGATTAAAATTTCGGTGAGGCTGCATTTGCATTTTTATTATTACGTGCGATTTTCAACCAGTATTAACAATCAATACTTACGAGTACTGACAGAATCGTAGAACAGTGACTCTTCTAATTCATGATGTTCTCTTTCGCTGCTGTCTGAAGAGCGCCTCTGCTTACAGTCAGGTCAATGGTAGTCGATATGAAATTTTCCAAACGGTAAACTTTTTCCGTTATAATTAGAAACGTCGTTTTAACGGTCACGAAAAGTACAAATAATAAATAATGTAAAAAACATCCTTCTGAAAATTTTTTTTAATATTTTTCGTAATGCGCAAAATACAGTAAACATATCCTAGTAAATAAATTGCAATATTCTTCATAATACATAGAAAAGTAGTAATTTATTTTTTTTTTCACAGGTTGCTGTCGGAAATCACAGCGGAAGTGACCGTGGATCCTCCGAAACGGTCCAGCCTCCCGACCGACTCCTTCACCACCCCGCCACGGACCCTCCGCGCCCGCACCCTCCCCCCGGAAGACCGCACCGCGTTACTGGCCTCCCAGTGCACCCCGCAACCCCCGGAGACCCTCCGCCGCAAACCCCGACGACGCCGGCCCTGGTCGCTGCACCTCCAGGACCCCCGGCACGGGGGCTCCCCCGGGGTGTCGGCCGCGGTGTCGGAGAGCGCCCTGGCCGGGCAGGCCCTCCCCGGGATGCTGCGGGGCGGTCGGCAGCGGCGCGGCGTGGTGGTGGACTGGTCAGGGAGCAGTAGTGAAGGGGGCCTGGAGAGTGAGGAGGATTTGGAAGGGAGTCGACTGACGGTGACGGGGAGGGGCGCACGGGGCGGGATCAAGAGTCAGAGTATGTCGGCGTTGGGACGAAGGCGGGAGCGCGGGGAGTGGGGAGATTGAGAGCAGTTTCTGGGATGATTATCAGGTGGGGAAGATGGTACTAAAAACGTTATTATAAACGTAAGGTTTTTTTAGGTGGTTTAAAATTGGTTGTAGATACGGGAGAAAATTGGTAGGTAACTGAAAAAAGGATAGTTTTGGTAATATTTTGAATAAATGAAAGAATGATTGAGTAGTTCATCACTTACGACATAAAAGGGGCAAATGTAGAAAATATTATCTTGGAATACGTTAATAAGAAAGACTTTAACTAATAAATAATTTACATATTAGTTTACTAATTTACTGATTTAATTTTTTCTACATGAATAATTTTGTTACAGTTTAAAATCAAGCTTAAAAATTGGATAAAACGTTTCCTTCGGTTAAATTTAATTGGTGTAGCGTAGTAAGATGGCAGCCGTCGTTAATATGCGCTTGAACGTGATAATTTCGGTATGCATTATAACACCGTGCATTTGTGAATTATAAAACATCAAATAAATTTTACATCAGTTGTTTTTAGTTGTTTGTATTTGGTTCCATTGATAAATTCTTGGATTGTTCGCAGCAAACTAGTTTATCTTGCGATTTTTTGTTGTAGTTGCGAAATTATCATACGTGTAGAATTTCAGTTAATCGAGAATCTGGGCGATTAAGAAATTTGTAGTGAAAATAATGTTAAATGAAAATGCAGAAAATTAAGGGATGATTGCAAGAAAGCGGCTTATGTTAGGATCCACCGTATTCAAGTGAAGCCTACTCGGAGAAGTCGGTGGACGAGAATGTCGTGCAGCAGATAACCAACTTCGGCGATGATTTCTGGACCATCCTCCCCTCGGGCTCGTCCAGTCTGAGCGTCAACGGCGAGCGGCACTGGAGCGAGTCGGACGGCGGCGAGTCCAGCGCCGAGGAACTGCGCAACGTCCTCAACGAGTCCCTGCGGCAGTTCCACATCGCGCAGACGGCACTGCGCGGCGCCGGTCACCGCCTGCGCAATCGCTGTGCACAGTTGGTACGTGGAAAAGAAAATTTCTTTCGTAGTGCAGTTTTTCTTCCTTGTTTCTGTATATAAATTTTTTGACGTAAATAAAGCCATTTGCAGCAATAGCCAATACTTCACCTTTCAGCAGTCGGTGGTGTGCAAGATACAAATTTGATTTATTGTAAAAAGAAAAGTAGTAATTTATTCTGAAAAAAAGTAATTTAACGAAATATGTTAAGCAAAATAATGGATATCGATCATGCACAGCGTTCAAGGCTGCAAATTGCGCCACTTCACTACCATATCTTCACACTAACTGCAGGCGATGTGTTTACAAATAACGCCATGAAATGCTGCCGGCTGCTCCGTGTAAAACACAGTAACATTCAAATAAGATCAATCACACTAACGGCTGTCTGCTTGTGAGTAATTTCTTGTCATACCACTTATGTATTTTTTTAAAATAGAAATCGGCAGTAAAAGAAGAATTAATAGTAATAATAGTCCACTTAATACGAACACCCCGCTAATAATTGGATAATACAATCCGCTGTTTAATACAATATTAGATAAAATGGTTATTGATAAATTTGGTCTGACAGTCAGTCGAAGAGAAAATTTGGTTGTTTTCAGAAGGAAATTCGGGCCACCTGCCAGACGAATCTGGACTGGCTGGGCACGATTGACAAGCACATCGCCGCCAGCGTCGACACGGCGGAGAATTCCCCGCTGACGGGCGAAAAAGGGCTAATCAGAGGTATGTGCTCAATTTATTTGTTGACCGGGGCGGGTGTTTTTTTTGGGCAGTTGTGTGAATTATTTGTCACATGTTTTTTGTGGATTTTTTCGTAATTATTGCTAGGTTAATTTTCCGGTTATTTTCTGCGTAGATTTGATTGAACGGTGGGATGGTCTGTTGGGCGAAGTGGTGCGCAGTGAAGCCTGTGGACAGTGGGCGCGTTCCATCAGTGAAGCGCTGCGGGATATCCAGGCCACGGTGGTGCTCTTATCTAACGCGTTTAATCCTAAACATCCCTCGCCACTCCTCATCCGCAGCGTCCAGGCCTGCGCCACGATCCACCAACAGATCCAGGTGTGGTTTTGAGTTCAAGTGTGTCGGATTACATTGCCAATTATGTACAGGGTGTTCGTAGTGCAGTGGCATGATTATTAAAACCAGTATGATGAGATTTAACGGGGAATAATTCCGAAAAATATTGTTGATGCTTTGTGTGTTAAAATTTGTTTTTTAAGCTTATGTTTGCCCGAAAGACTGTGTGTTTTAATAAATGGAAAGAACGTTTTTCAATTTAAACATCTGTTATTAATTTGTAAGAAAAAATATGGAGCCAGGTGCAGCTAACCTTGCAGCAAATTGAACTAAAGACAAATTTAATTATAAATACCAGTTACAGTTAAGACAAATTTAGAAAATTATTTTAAATCCATTATGAAATGTTAACCCTGTTTAATTAGAATTTGTTTTGAACATCCTGAATATTTGATTCACTTTTTCGTAATAAATCCGATACACTATGGGTACGTTTTCATGGTCACTGTAAATAACCAAGAAAAGTAGATGTGAATTTTCGGCGATTCGTCTTTAGGATTTTAACGTTTTGTCGATTTCAAATGAGCCGTTTTTGTCTACAGACGGGCGGTGGTTGTGTCGAGAAAGCAAAGTAGAAAAAATTTTAGAATTTTCTGTTTAACATAATAAAAATTATGAACAATAAAATCAAGGTTTCTTTTAAAAATCGAAAAAAATGTTTGAAAAAACTAAAGAAATTCTTGAGTTTAAAAATTGTTTTAAGAAATATAGGAAACATAGTATCGAATTACCGGTAAGCAGAAATTACTGAAAAAATAACCAAATTTATAGAAATTTGCAAATTCTTTGGTCGTATAATCGTGGCGGTATAATCCCAACCGGAAATGAGCCTTTCTTCCCGTTTCCAGACGAAACTGTCGACACTGGACACCTGCACCACGGACACGACGCGTCTGTTAACCCGCATCAGCGAGCACTCCACCAGCTGCGCCCTTTGCACACCTACCAGCGCTTCCCTCTTCGCCGACGCCCAATCCCTGCACCACCACCTGGACACCCTCTCCCAATTAGGCCGGCGCAGTCTGGACGACGTGGCCACCTACCAGCGCCGCTTATCCACCGTCCGCGGGCGGCTGACCACGCTGCAGTCCGCGCTGACCTCCTCCCTCCCGGATCTGGTGCCCCTGCACGACGGGGAAGCGGGCGGGGGGCGGGATCTCCCGGGGGAGTGGCGGGAGGTGGAGCGGCTGCTGCAGCAGCTGACGGGGATGGAGCGGTTTGTGCTGCTGGACGCCGAGGTCGGGGAGATGGTCAAGGAGGTCAAGGGGATGCTGGGGAAGATGGAGGAGGACGGGCGGGAGTGTCCGCGCCGGTAAGAGCAGCGGAAGAGGGTTAAACGACGCCCGCTAATTAGGATAAAACAGCTAAAGCGTATTCTGTGACTAAAAATATTATTGGATGCATGGAAATTGAATTGAATTTTATATGACGCATTTCCAGTAAAATATTGAAAGAGGTTGAGTTTTTTACATATTTGGAACAGTCTGTTTTATTTGCAAATTTATGTGTAATTATTGTTCTATTTATGGCATTGAAATAATTATTTTGTCGTACTCCAGAATGTCGAGATTTCAGGTTTCTTTAGAATATTTCAAATAGTTTAGGTATGTAGATGCATATTTTGAAAAAAAAATATTTCATAGGTGTATTTATTAATTTTGATCTGATTTACAATTAAATATTTTATTTAATACATCGAAGTAGATATTTCTAAAATTCTAGTCATGTTTCAAAGTATTGAAATATTGTCAATTTTTAAATATTTAAAATAGGTAGTTCAGATGTAGATATTTTCGGAATATATCGTTGGTGTATTTGTCAAAGATTTTCATCGACTAGTGACAGGACGCACAACATTATTGCGGAATAACGTAGTGCGTTGGCATACTGTAGCATCCGCACTACGCTCTAGCGCCGAGTAGCGTATGCAGACCATGAATTATCCCAATAAATTATTATTACATTATTTTCTTACATTGAAAAATAGCGCTAATGATGTTTTTGTTTTTCCGAATTTTATTTGAGTGTTTTACTGTACGAATGGGATTATTTAGTTTAGTGCTGTTCTCCTATTTTTGGAAATCGTTATGTATTTAGGTGTAAAGTTTTTATAGTGGTTGGTACGGCCATTCGACGTGAAAATAATCCAGCAGATACAGGAGTTTTTATATCTTGCTAATTATTTTCTTTTTATTAATGCGTTTTATAAATTTCAGGACATTTCTTCCTGCTGACAAACCGGAATCTCATAAACTGGAGGAAGCGCTCCCATTGATCCCGGAGAAGACGAGTGTCCTGTCCAAACCGGCAGCGACGACAACGGTCCGTCTTCCCGATCCTCTTCTCCATCGCGACTCGATCGTCAAAGTGAAGACGGACATTTTAGCGTCGAAATGGCGGCGCACGTGTCTGTTGAGCGCGCCGTTTGCCGGCTTGCTCATCTTCCTATGCCTGCTGGCCGGCGCCTTCCTCTTCCAGCCGCACTGCTGCTCCTACACCACCCAGAAGAATCTCTTCACCATCACCCTCGACTATCCAAACGGAAGTCCGCCCATCTGATTTGTTTCCGGGAATTTTGCGGAAATTATTTGTGGACTATTTCGAAATTTTTTGTGGATTTTTGCCGGTTTGTTGACCAAGTTTTCAGCTATTGCCTAAGAACTGTCATCATCGGAAAATTTTTCTGGAATATTTTTTCAAGCGTTGGAGAAATTTTCTGGATTTGCTTCTGAATATTTCCTGGAATTTTGGGATATTGTCGTGCGATATACTGAATATTTTGTGGAGTTTTTCCAGATTTGTTGACCAAGATTCCAGGCATCTACGGAAGGTCACCGATGTCTTCCGGAATTTCTGGAATTTTTTCGAAGTTCGGGAGCTTGGAGGATTTTTCTGGGAATATTTGTTAATTTTTCCGGGAATTTTGTGGAATGTTTTGAATCTTTTTATGGATTTTTGCCGGTTTATTGACCAATTTTCCAGTCATTTCCGCAAGGCTGTCGGCATCATCCGGAATTTTGTGGAATATTTTTCGGAGCGTGGAAGAAATTTTCTGAATTATTTGGGAAATTTTTCTGGGAATTTTGTGGAATATTCAGCGTTGTACGTAGTTTTTGCCTTGATCAGAGGGGCCTTGGATTGTTACACGGACATTCCAGAAGCGAAAACTTATTGCGGGAAAATGTGGGGTTGTTGTTGTTGGTTTTGCACAGGCCTGACTGATGCGCTGCATGTTGTGTTCCTTTTAGCAAGTTCTAAGTCAATTTATCATGTTTTGCGTGTTTATAATTGTCTGCGTTTGAAATTGGTGTAAAATTTGCAGCTGCTGAATTTTCCTCTGATGCAGTGTGAAATAAACTGAAGGTTTTCGGTATTTTCATCTTTTTTCAAGAGCCTATAACATAAGGAGAATAATATTTTGTAATAAGGAGAATAACCGCAGTAGATAAGGAAAATCGATCGTTCCATTGATTTACCGTCGCGGCTTGTTAACAAAGTATTTGGAATATTTTCATCAACGTGTACAAAAAGTATTGTGAAGTGCTTACATCATAAAAAAATTAATTGTGCACTTTTTGATTTACCGATGTTCAGCCATATTTCACTTGCGTGCTGTAAAGATGAACTTACTCGTGGCGTACGAAGCCATCGCTCTACGTTTTGGTACAATACCGCTACGAGTTGCGCCAAAGACATATTTGAAAATAATTTTCATTTCCACCAGAAGATCACACGGACTTATTCAGCACTCTGTACTGTCGAGAAATTCAGTATTATTAGGCTAAATTATAAAAAAAATTTGCCATTTCTTTAAAAAAAAATGTTTACCATTACTTCACTCTTCCTTCACAAATTTTCGGTCAAGTAACAGCTAGAACATAGCTGCAGCTAGAGCGTTATCATACGCCAACAGTCAACTTGCTACGTTATTTTTCAGTCTTACGACTTTGCGATCAAACAGAATCCAATAAATAATTGCAAATATTACTTTGTTCCTATTGGTAAACTGAACCGACATTTTAAAAATTTACTTCGAAAATAGTGTCAAATTTTTTCAATAAAAATATTTAATACTGTTTTACACCTTTTCGGTGACATAACGGCTAGCGCAAACTGCGCTCTGGAATAATGTGCCACTTCACTACGCTGTTTTCCTGTTACGACTACTCGACCAAACAAATAATTTGATATATTTTATTATTTCTATTAATATATTTGATTTTATTACTTCATTTGAAATAATTATTTGTTTATCTAAATATCTTATTATTTATTGAATACATATTTTTGTATATTTTGTTTTTTCACATATATATAATATTTTTATTTTAATGAATGATGAAAAAGATTTTCAATAATTATGTATTAATTTGAAAACATTGTATATTCGTTAATAAATCTAAATTTGCAAAATGTATCTACAAAAAAGTAAAAAAAGTAAAAAAACGCCGGTACAAACCGGTCACAACGCTATATAGCGTATACATTAATAATCATCGGCACGAGGCGGAAGCGGCCCATCTCCCGCCGTCTCCCACCCAGGGGTGCCGGCTCCCGGGGATGAACGGGATGCACACACTCCGACATCCAATAATCACTCGCTTATACGTGCAACGCATTGCTGCAGTCATGAGTGATTAGAAAATATTCCACCACACAACACTCACATCGCATCGACTCTGTACCGACGCTGACTTATTTATCATGTCGGGGCTTTCTTCTTAATTAATCTCCGCTCTGTGCTGTTTCAACGGACAGTGTTTCTCACGCTGACTGAATGCTGGGAACGGGCGCTCTCCAATATTAATTTTGATAGAAATATCGGGCATTTGTACCCGGGGTTTTATATATATACGAGTATGTATACAATTTCGGCGGATTTACATTTTTAACGCGGTTGATGCTGGTTAATCTGGTGCACGCGCGTGTTGTGAATATTTCATATCCATTTCCGGTTGCCGGACGCGGTGCACGCGGCTCTTTGGATAGGTTGTGATGCTGTCGACCCGGTAATCACTTTTATGAACATCTGCGCATTAAAATCTCGTCGAAATTTTATTACCACCGGCTTTATGGCGGTTTGTACATTATTTACAGCGGTTATGCTTCTGGAAATTGCAGGCTTATTTTGCACAGAAATTTTGCGCAAAAATCGTGAGTCGATTCATTTTGACTGAAACGTTTACATTATGGAAATTTTTATTTTATAATTATAGTAGCTATTTAGTTATCCTGTCGCTTTGCTACGGCGTTCGAAAAATAAAATTATACAATCAGATTTTATAGTTTAAAATTTATCAAAATGATTCGCATCTTTTTTGTATGCTTTTTTCTTTATGTTAAAAATTACATTTTTTTTTCATACGGAGGCAATTTTATGATTCTGATTACCGTGTCTTTTTCATATTCGATTAAAATGTTATTGTAGTTCGCTTTATTCAGGTATATACTGTAAAGAAGCGAAATATAATCATGTTTTAATCACAGATAAAATTGAAATAACAATTTGATATTTAATTTTAAAAAAATTTTATTTCAAGAAGTTCGCTGTATTTATTACTTATTCAACGAAATTTAACATTTTATTTAGTGGCGTGGTATTGCTTTATTGAAAGGGTTGCTGCATTTTTTTGCGGTGTAAATACAAACAGATGCATATTGGATTCAGAAAAAAACGTCATTTTTGGCGGTGCGCGATATTTGATTTAATAAACACGGGTATAACGACATTGCCCGGCATCTGTGGTTTTTGCAGGGAGAATTGATTAGATTCACTTTCCAGCCGGTGTCGATTTCTCCAGTGTCGCACCTGAAGAAAACCCACGGCGTAATTACACCGCGCCGCGGCGCTCGATCCGCGATCGTTACCGGCATAATACACGGCCGGACGCCCGTTTTATACAGGATGGCGCTGTGACTTTATGCGAGCTGCGGTGATTATTCCGCATCTGTTCGACTTCCCAGATCATCCCGCTCTCCCGTTCGACGTCCTGTAAAATTTTTTGCCTAATCAATTTCAGTGTGCTTGCGGCTTCCGCGCGGCGACAACTGCCATCCAATTCGAGGTACCGTGAATGCTGGAAAATTCAGCAAAAACTATTTTTTAGACGACCTTGCCGGTTTCTTGCCTAATGACGTTGCGAATGAATTTGACAATATATTTATATTCTGTTCAAATTATGTTCTACATATTTTTAAAAATTCATGTTAAGATATATTATTTAAAATAAAAATATAATTCATAATCTAACTTAGAAAAATACTGTGTTATGATTTAAATCATAGCATGTTTTTTTTAATTCTGAGCCTATATTGTTGAATGAGAAGAATTTATTGTATAGCCATCGTACTACGAAACCCTTGCACGATTATTTGGTAATTTATGATAACGCTTGCATTTTGCTTCGGCTTACGATAACTGTAGAACTTGTTACGGTTGTAATAATTTTGTAGAATACAGGCAATTAAGCACAACCCCGTGCAACATTTATGACGCATTTAAAAAAAATGATTATACTTTACTTCTATTTAACGAATTTCAAGAATAAACCAAGCAGTTTATACTTCAATATTTTACACACAATAAATTAGAAGATTTAAAATAGACAATTTATTTGTATTCATTAATGTAAAGTAAGATATTTTATTAAAACACTTAAACATTATTTAAATTAATCAGACCATTTTTTTCCATATTTTCGGCCGATTAATAATATAAATTCCAGGTTAAATACCAATACACGCAAGCAGCACGACGAAAATTTGTTTGTTTGTTTGGGGATTAAAGCGGGATGACGCAGGTCGAAGCCGCGCAACATGTCAGCCACGTGTAAGCGGACACGCGCAGCTTACACGCCGCGAAAGGTCACGGAGTGCTGACGGCCAGAATTACGGGAAACAGTGCGCGGGAAGCGCGCTTATAGCTTGTTCTAGCGGCACTTAATTAGCCTGGCCGCGATGTGGTTCGCTGCCGCTTAATGCCGGTACATACTTCCGCATTAAGCTGGACATGCATGTGTGTTCGTGTGACCCAGTTCATCCCGCGGATTAACTGTACACGCTGCTGTCCACAATTAATCACGCCACCAACGTGAAGCCCGGCTTGTGTACTAGTTGTCTTTGACGTCAGACGTTGTTAAGCATAATTACACCATTTTTCACCAATTTATCGAGGAGGCTTTTTCTAATTTTTACCACAGATTTTTTCTATATATATATTTATATTGTTAAAAACTTTAATATATTTAACGCTAATTTAATAACATTGTAAATATTTTTGTGGAGAAACTTACAGCAAGCATGACAATTTAAAAAAAAAATTATTATAAAAGCATCGTTTTAGGCAGTAATTAAATTTTATTGTTATATTTTTTGCTCAACGACTTTTCTATGCCCTAAGTTTGTTTTTCAGAACATTAGCAGTTTCTCTGCTTCATAAAAATTAATAATTTTCTGATTTTATTGCAGCACAAAACCAGAAAAATTAAATTCGTATTTTAACCTTACAAATATACGACTTTAATTAAATTAAAAAACGTTAAAAAAATACAATTTATATATTACCGTTGTAAATACATTTTTTTGATGCACTTTTACCTGTAGATTAATTTATTCCTTTGAGTTTCTCAATTTAATTTATATTCCCATTATGAGGCCATTTTGATTGTGTCTCGGCACATCTTGATAAGTGTGTATCGATCAAAGCGGGGCTTTTGACTGTCGCCAAGCGGTTTTTTTGTCTGTTTGTCAATGAGCTACTTGGTATGCTTATTACGTTGAGGGGGCACTGCAAAACGCGGGGATCGATGCATGGCTGATGCCGACGTATTAATCGATAGACATTAGACGGAGATAATAGTTGCCGGCATCCGCATCATATAGAAAATGTACGCCAACCGCACAACGTGCGGCGTATTGACATTTTATCGGCCTGGATGCTGCCCGTGTGTCTGTGTGGGTATTGTTTAGGGGGGCCCACTTTTTGCAGCTCCTGATTGTCTCTTGAAAAATGGCCCAGAGTGCCTCTTCGTCAGGCTCATCAGACGGCGCGTAGCGCTTTGCAGTGTTTTTATATATATGGAAAACCGCGACGGCGGTGTGAAGAGTCAACAATCCCGGCAGAAACGTGCGCCGGCTTTTGTTAATTAATCTGCTACGCGGATTTTTTCTGGGAATCAAAAAGAAACTGTGGAAAAATCAATCGGTAAAAAAAATAGTAAAAACCAACGCAGCTTGCCACAATTAAAAATTTCGCAGAATAATTTCAATAATTAATAGTACAAGTGTTTATTAACCATAAAATAAAACGGGGCATAAACGGTCAATAAAACTATTATTCGGACCGACACGGGGAAAATTGCAAATCAGTTTTAATAAATAAAATTAAACCCGGTATAAAGCAAAATCGCAAAATAATTTTAGCAGTTAATTTTAAAACATTTTCTTACAAATAAAAAAATTGATAAATTTTGTGATAACAAAATTGATAAAAAAACAGCCTGTTATAAAAAATTAATTCAGCCCGCATCAACGAAAAATTGCATAACTGTTCGGATAATTAACTGTAGAAACATTTTTGTACCAATAAAATAGAACGGGTACATTTACAGTTAATGAAAAATAATTCAGTACGATATAGCAAGAAACCGCTTAATATTTTTATTAATCAATTTTACAAAACCTGTTATACAAATAAATTAATTGAAACGATTACGTTTACGCAGAATACATAAAAAGAGAGTCGCAAAATAAATTAATCAAAAAAGGGAAGAATGTGACTTTGATTCCCGGAGGAGTTCGAAGAATTCTGTCGACAACAGAAGCTGGTCGACATTTTAGTATAATTATGTATTTGATATTTTGCCCGACATTTTTGATAATTACTACCACAACATACTTATACCGCTCCCGCATTTTTAAGGCGAAAACTTTTCTGTTAAATTGCAAAAATCCGGGAACGGTAAGAAATCATGGGCGCGAAGGTCGTCCGTGACCTTTATGTGCGTGCTGATTCCGGCACGAGAGAATCCCGCTGCGACGTCGGAATCAGGGAAAGCCGTTACGAATGTGTACATGTGTATATATGTGTGGGGAAAATGAGGGAGATTGATGAAAACAAACAGTGCAGTGGCAGTCAGAGCGCAACGGAAGTGGTGTGCGTTAAGGGATCAATCGCAATGGTGTTTGTTTAGTATTAAACATGTTAGGCCTGGCTACGCATGACCACTCGAGCCTGGCCGATTTCAGGGAGCTGCACACGGGGCTGCAGCTGGTGGATGCGCAGCCGCCACTGGCCACGCTTCAGACAACCGGACATTTCTTCTTCTTCCAGACAGCTTCCTTAATCAAATTCTAATAGTCGGCGAGTAAATTCATCTCCAAAAAATCGCTCATAAATTAAAGAAAAAAGAAATCAACATGGTCTGCAACGATTATTTTCTTTTTAGCTGTTTAGATGAACAGGTGTCGCGGAATTATTTTTTTCTAAATCCAAGCAAGATTTATAACCAAATACATGGTGGTTTAATTTTTAAAAAAATATTTCGTATTAAATTTTCCGAGTTTACCGATATGCATCACTTTGCGCTGAATGCTTCCAGTTTATTGTACGTATATTGCCAGTTCACTACGTTATTTTGCATTAACGTTGCGCCTACTCCGAAAAATGCTGGAGAAACGTTGTATAATTGGATCATTTTTAAAAAAAAGTTTCTAACTATCACTTCTTTAAAAAAAACTGTTGTTGCGAATTAAATTTAGCTCATGTTTTTACGATTAATTTGTACCGCGTGTCAAGCCAAGAGTAAAAGTGGACGTTTTCTAAAGCCGACTAACTACGCTTTTTGTGTTGTAGCACCACCACCATTCGATCTAAGAATAATTTAAAATTACGGATAATTTTTATTCCCATAAGAAATCTGCATCGGCTTAAGAATACTGTACAGCTGGCTATAACGAAGCTGTATGCTGCTCAAGACTTTATATACTGCGTATATACATCAATAATCATCGAGCCATGAGGCGGAAGTGGACCTAGGGGCTAGGTAATATTCAATTGACTGAATATCTGTAAAACGTAAGAATAAAAAATACAAATCGGCCAGTCGGTGCCTGGATAAAAATTTAATAATTGAACCAACAAACAGCATGCAACAGGAACACATCCAGTGCGCATAAATCGCCAGCACTGAGTTCGAACGGACAAGCGCTGGTTTGCGCAATTTGCGCTAGAACAAAGTAATCTTTTTCGTTGTAAAAATAAAGATATAAAATTTGAAAGCATATAAGAGATGCAAACAAACGCGATTATCGAGCAACAAATTGCAGCGCGACCAGTTTTTGTATACGGCCAACGACGTTGATCATTAGCATCGCCTGTGAAACCCGCGAAACGTTCGCCTCGCGCATCGATTAATACCGGGTTTGATTGGGAATTGATGAGCAAATTAAAAACTGATTAAAGATCCATCAAATTCATATTACCCGATCGTGTCATGTATATATTCATTGCACCCCATACACACACATACACCGCCGCCAACGAAGGTAATTGCATGCACTTCCCGCGCCCGGAAATGTTGCATGTCTAATCATGGAAATTATGAAGGGAAAAAACGTCCACATGCATCCCACGTACCGGACGCCCCGCCCCCCGAAAAACACCGGCCACCTACGTCATCAATCCGCGGAGCAGAAAGAACAACCGGTCGAAATCACTCAGCAGTATAAGAAAACATAAGAAAACCTAGGAAACCCAAGAAAAAAACCGATTCCCACGGCGGGTATACTTGGGAACGGAACTCCGCCTCGTGTTTCCGCGGTTCTGTACAGTTGTGTCGTGACGCGGGGGTGACTTATTGGTGATAGTGTGGGGCAATATATTAATGCGCGGCCGGGATCAGTGATCTGTGTAATGCATTAGATTAAGGCGATTAAGGGGCGTGTTCGGGATGCGCCGGAGCAGTATCCCAGCGAGAGAGAGGAGAGAGAGATATGGGCTCCTGTTCTCTCGTCCTCTCTCTGCCAACACAATACCATACGGCGATGCGGAATGATGCATTCTCCA